CTCGCTGGTTTTGCATTGCAAGCACGGTGGTTGTGGCTCCAGAAGACTGATCAGGATTGTAACACCTCGGTGTTAAGCATGCATTAACATTTTGCAAATCATGAGCATAATCCTTATTATGCATTCATAAGCATGACATGAAATATAGAATTAAAACATACTAATGAAACATGTATGTTGCATAGTTTTGTTTTAATAGATTGGATGTTATGTTTGTTTTGCCATGTGTGTACCTCGGTTGATCACTTAGACCAATTAGAAGTAGCTAAGATGCAATTTGGAGCAAGGTGTATATTCAAAGTTTTCTCAAATTTTGCTTTTAAAAATAATCTTCTAAAATCGGGTTTTTGATTTAAATTAACTTTAAATCTATAGTTCAAAATCTAATTGGATTTTGGTCTTACTCTTTTTGGCAAAGTTGTAGAGTACTTTTTTCTGAACAACTTTCATTTTTACACTAGCTCGCGCCTCGCCACCCCAGCACTCCACCGCCACCCCAGCAACCCGCTGTGTCCACCCGTGTTCGCTGACGGTGCTTGGTAAGCCACAGCGCCGCGCGCAAGCTCGCCGGAGCCCCGCCGCCAACCCTGTCGTCGTGGCCACGCCGCCACAGTCCACCTCTCGCTACGCTAGTTGATGCGCTAGGTTTCCCGTAGTTCGTAGATGCTTGTACGCGCGTTTGATTGAGCCGCCGAGGTCGTCACTGGCGTACCGCCGTCGTCTCGCCTCGCCGTGCCGCCATGGCCGCCGCCGTCGGCACTAACGCCGACAATAGGGCCGACCAAGTAGTGCAATAGATGCGCTAGGCCAAGTAGGTCCCACCGTGATGATGTCACCGCCGGCGAGTTCGCCGTCGGCGAGCTCTGGCCGCGCCAGTAGTGTAGCGCCGCCTGCTCTGTTCTCGTCTCACTGACGTGTGGGTCCTCTGTCCAGTGGGTCCCACCGGTCAGCGGCAGTGAGGGTATAGGATAGTTCATTAATTCCAGATTTTGTACTGTTTTTGTAATAGTTGTATCTCCAATTTGGTTGCTTCAAAAATTGTGAAATAAATTTGGTAGTGTTCCTTAGGAAGTCTAGTATTTAGGAAAAATATAGTCTTCATACTTACAGTAGAAATTTTTGGAAGATTTAAATGGAAATTTGAAATGTGTTTTTGAATGCATGCAAACTTGTTTATTTTATATCTAGAGTTTTTATGGTCCAAAAATTATGAAATTTTGTGGGTAAGCTAGTCTTGCTTAGTAGAAGCTCTAGTAAAAATTTGAGAGTCATTGCATGTGTGCTTTTTGAGTTATAGATTTTCCTTTCATCATTGAGTGATACTTGTGTGAATTTTTGTAAATTATCTAAGAATCCTATGACCATAAAATTTTGTGGGGAGTATCCCAGTATCTTAAGGATGTTAGGAAAAATATGAAATCTATTGGTTGGCACTTTTAACTAAGGTTTTCTATTTATGCCTTTTTAAGCACTTATGCCTTGTTATTTTTGTGTAGGCTATTCTACTTATCCAAATGCCATGAAAATTTTATGGTAGTCTACTTAGAGTAGTACTATGCTACTGTAATGTTCTCAGATTTTTATGAGCACTAGAAATATATGTTGCTGTGTAGCCCTAGTTTAAAATGAAATAAAATAATCTTCTTTAATGCATGTTTAGTTAATAATGTTTGTTTTGGTGTATCTTTGAAGCATCTTAACTTGCTGTGGTGATTTGGCATGTTAGTACAATGGTTGTCGTAGTAGATAGTAGTACATGTTCTTGGATGATGTCGACTACCTTGTAGACGAGCTTTGCTACTACTATATTCAATAAAGTTAAACATGGTCATCTACATTTCATGCATCATGATCATTACATGTCATCTCTCCGATGCACCTATGTATTAGCACTTATACATCTGCATCATACAGGATCGCAGGAGGAGTTGCTAGTAGCAGTTCAGGAAGAGCAGACCGGGACAGATCCACAAGAAGTCCAGGCACAGGAGGTGCCAGAGGAAGAGGAGCCAGGAGAGGACTTGCCTGAGTGCGTGGATCATCTCCCTAGTTCGTTCGAACGAGGCACGTCCCGGAGCATTCTAAGTCTCCTACTTTATAAAAGCAATTCTTTCTATATATATGAGTTTATATATGGTTGTATTAAGTTGTAGGAGTTAATTGAAACCGTTGATGCATTTATTACTATCATTGTCTACCTTATTACCTTTTACCGTGTTAGGTCAGGATCGAATAACTGCTTAGCCTTACTTAGACCGGTAGCGATCGGTGATATCCGGTCACTTACATTATAGGTGATTACTGGAAGAATTTAGCTATGGAAAAAATGATATCCTAGAATTAACCATGTGTGATGGATAATTGGAGACCGGACGAAAAAAGTTGGAGGCAACCAGACAGGGTTCTGGGGTGTTGTTAGTTTCCGTCTGTGTCGATTAAGGACCGATCGTTGCTCGTCCCTCTTGTCATGTTGAACGCATGCCTCACATTTAGCTGCCCGAATAAAGTACCTTTCGACCGCGAAGCTAGTGGCGCTATTCGGGCCGGGATCTACACGAGTGCGTGTATTGGTGCTGATGGGGTAAATGACTGGGGACGCCGAAGAGTGAGCCCAAGGCAGGTGCATACGATTCCCGGCAATCAGGCGGTCCCTCGGTAATCAATGCTCCATTGTCCCATGGCTACCTAAATAGTGTCCTTGGTGATCTAAGCTACCCTGACAGGGGAAGCATGTTTTGTGTGAGGAATAAATCACCAGCTGGTTAGGAATCGATTCGAATCGCCATCGCTCCTGGATAGTGAGCACTTGACTCGAGCTACGGCATCGTAGTAATTATGATGGAACAATGATGGTTATCTGGATGGTATGGGCATGCTAAAGCTAAATTGGTAACTGAATGTTGTTGGTTAATCAAGTGATTGCTATAGTACAGGTGCTTACCTAGACGAATAGGTTATAATAAAGATGATGCAAAGCATTTAAAATAATGTCTTCATGATAACTTATGCTTTTCGTGAAACAAGTCGACTAGCTCACTAAAGAAAGCCTTGCATAATCCTTGGTGTCGCTTTATTTTGGTTTAAGACGAGTAAGTCTAGTGAGTACCTTCTCGTACTCGTAGGCGTTGTTCCCATTGTTGTTGCGCAGATGGTCAAATGTACTTGGCTATTGCATTAAGCGTATGCATGCCGGCGATGGGTGACAACTAGGACCAAGGGCAAATGGTCACTCCGTATCTCTCATCGATGCTTTTTGTTGGAGATGACTACCTCATGGCATTTGTATCCGAACTAAAAGTGTGTGTGTGGCTTTAAAACTATTTGCTTTCGCTACTTCAGTTTGAACTTGGGTTGTAATAACTTTATATTCTAAACTCTGATGTACCGAACTGTGATTGCGAACTTTATGTAACGTATGACGGTACTTGCTAAACTTGTACGATCTTGGTTTGTATGTCGATTGGTTTGAAATCCTTCGTGGTTTCACGGACTACCGGGGTATACGGGCTTAAGTTTGCTAAATTATCTGCTTCGGCGGAAGATTTTCTTACTTAATCTCGTATAATTGGTCGGTTCTGTTACAAGGATAGGGCGTGGAGTCAGCTGCCGATCAAGACATCGCCTGAAGTCCTGGTGTTCTTCAAGGCCTCCACTTACACGCTGATTGGTGATGGGCGTCAGGCACTGTTCTGGGAAGATAAGTGGATACACGGTGAATCCATCCCAGACATTGCTCCATGCTTATGTCAGTTCGTGCCTCCAGAAACGCGATGAGAAGATGCACCGTCTGGCGGCAGTGCGCTCAGCGAGTCCCGGTGCGATCCATCTCGGAGGAGTATCAATGCAAGCTATCCATGAGTACTTGGCATTGTGGGATACTGTTTGCGCAAGACATACAGCTCAACGATCAACCAGACCGAACCGTTTGGCGTTGGGCCAACGATGGAGCTTACTCGGCGAAATCTGCCTACTACATGCTGCATTCAGCATCCACACCGTTCTTGGGTCACAAACTCATTTGGAAAACCTGGGCTCCACTGCGGATCAAGATCTTTCTTTGGCTAGCATTCAGACGACGTCACTGGACCGAAGACAGGAGAGCTAGGCATGGGCTAGAAGCAAGGGAGATGTGCTACCTCTGCGACCAAGGGCGTGAAACCATTGATCATATCTCGCCGAAAGTGCCCTTCACAGAGAGAGGTCGGTTCCACATTCTCCAAGCCTTGCAACGCCCATCGCCACAACCAACCGCAGCTACAACATTGCGATGGTGGCGGCACGATCGCGAGCGACATACAATGGTGTCCGGCGCCGAGGCATTGACTCACCGTTTGAGCTAGTCTCTTTGGACCATCTGGAAGGAACAAACGCCAGGTGCTTCAGGGAGGCATCCTCATCGGTGAACGAGGTGCTGCAGCTAGTCAAGGCCGAGGCCGATCGGTGGATCGACGCCGGCGCACGGGGGCTTCAAATGTTGGCTCGCCTGTAGGTGGGATGGTCACCCTTAAATGTTATTTGTTTCAAAATGTAGCACTTGCAAAACACTAACGCGGCCGTGGAACGGCTTGTATTGCTCAAACTCTTTCTATCTAATACAATGATACGCATCGCTTGTGCGTATTCGAGAAAAAGAAAAAAAATGTATTTTTTAGATGGCAGATAAGAGACTTAGGTTTATGTTAATGACATGTAAGAAATTTTCTCCTTTTCTTTTCAAGCCAAGGGTTTGATAACAATACGATTCACTTTGTCATATGTCCACAATTTGGGCCGCCCAAAACAATTGGTCACGTCGAAGCCAAGAAATGAAACATTGTAAAACCCAGACAATTGTTATATACCCTCTTTTTTTTAAAAAAAATGTTCAGCATTACATGAATTACTGAAATACCCTTTTTTATGTGATTTCCGACAACTCAGGATCCCGACCGAGCTCTGAACCCTCGCCGGCGATCGACCGTGCCTAGCTTCGGGCAGCTCATCCCTGCCGTCTCTCAGACATGGCCCGAGTGAGAGCTTGGCCCTCCCTCTGGTGGCCCATGGCCGCCGGCGTCGTCGTCAAAGACCGCTACGGCGAGTTCTGCATTCTGAAGGGCAGTTCCATGCTCCCCACTATCCAAGCCGACGGCGACGTCGGGCTGCTGGACCGCCTCTGCCTCGCCGGCCACGACTTCACCCGCGGCGACGTCGTTGTTTTCAGGTCAGTCAGCTGCTGTCCGCCGCCGTCCGTCCGTACCGGATTCCTTGGCATTTCTTTTTGATTTGATTTGATTGGATGGTTCGGCCCGCTGATGCCATCTCGTTTGCACTTTGCAGGTCGCCGACGGACCATCGAAGAAAGGCGGTCCAGAGGCTGATTGTGCTGCCGGGGGATTGGATCCAGATCCCGGAGAAGCGGGAGATCCGGCAGGTCCCCGACGGCCACTGCTGGGTGGAAGGGACAATGCCGGCCAAAGCTTGGACTCGAGACACTATGGCCCTGTAAGGCATTCTCCGATGATGGTCTATAGCCCTTCCCCAATGAATTTTGATGATCTTCATTGTTCTGAGAACGTGCCTAGCTCATGTTTTATTTGGAAATTATTATAGTATTATTACAATGGCCTACCAGAGCGACACAATGCTGAACAAGCTGGCAACAGAGTACTACGACACACACTAATGCTATCACCTGGTACTGACTTGACAATGCGTAAGATCACCATCTTTGTGATCTTCTTGCTAGGCAAAAACTGCACAGATTGTTTGGCAGTGGCATTGCAGGAGGGGGCCATAAAATTTGATGCTTTTGTGGTCGTGTTCAACCAAGGCTGAGTTCACACCTCAGTGCTGATTTCTGAAGCCTGAAATAATGTCGACTGATGTAGCTTGGGCTGCAAATTTATCCTGGTAGAATAGGGCAGCAAGAAAACCATGCCCTGAAATAGAAGGGGACAGAGAGCAAATGAGCAATACAGTCTGATTCAATGGTATCTGCTACAAGATACTTGCCATTTACTAACTTGAACAAACTCAGTCTTATCCTTGTGACATGTGTTGTTTGATTGTGACTGCATCATGGTCTTGTATTACAATCTTTTTATGTCACATTCCTCTGTTTACATGAAGCATTCTTGATCATCATTAGCTGTGAATGCACCTGGACTTGTAGAGAAATGCATGCTAAAGCAGATTTCATGGTTTACAATCATTTTTTATCCAATTTTGGTGCTTTATTGATATAGTGTTTGGATGAACATCAGGAATTAGTTCACTAGAGTCACTCGGCAATTTGACACTATCCAAAAATCTCCAGTTGCATTTAATTTATTAGAAGCAAAATGCGATACTAATCATATTTGCGGATAAGTACTTGTTTCTGCAGTACACAAGAATCGGTTTCTAGCCATCTTTAGTTTTGGTATAAATTCTAACTTTATAAGCTGCAGGTTCCTCTGGGTCTGATGGAAGCGAGGATCACACACATAATCTGGCCACCTGATAGAATACATCGAGTCGACAGAATGGTGCCAGAAGGCAGGATTATGCCTCAACATTGACATGTTTTCTGATCTGCTACTTTAGGCTTCTCATCTAGCCTTTATTTTCTCATGGTAGTGTAGGATGACATAACAAGCTACATAATCTTCAAGAGGCAGTGATACCATCACATTGAGGATTTCATGATTTCATCTCTTGTAGAAACAAAATAAACATCCATGACAGATTTGCTTGTAGGGACTGGTTGGTGAGGAGCTTACCAGTTGCAGGTATTCAACTCTATTCAAATTGTATAATGCACTGTTGAGATCCTTTTATGAGAGGCCGAAAGAAAATCGTTGGGGCGTAACCCTCTTAGCGACGCGCCATATCGGAACCCGGGTATGGTGTTAAATGGGCAAGGGCCGGGTCGTCACCCCGTGGACGCCGCCGTGTCGTGATCTGGGCATGGTGTCAAGTAACCAAGGATCGGGTCGTCGCTTCCTTAGTGGCGCGCTACATCGGGCGCCGGGTGTAGTGAAAAATGAGCAAGGGTCTTCGCGCCAGTCGACGGGTGCGAAGGGTAAGGAAGCTAGTCGAACCAACTAGGATCCGTTTAGGTAGTTGGAATGTAGGGTCACTTACAGGTAAGTTAAGAGAATTAGTTGATACCATGACTAGGAGGCGTGTAAATATATTATCGTTCAAGAGACTAAATGGAAAGGGAGGAAAGGCGAAGGAGGTGGACAATCTGAGTTTCAAGCTTTGGTACACAGGGGACAATCATGAATAGAAATAGAGTAGGAGTTTTGATTGATAAGAGCCTCAAGAATGGTGTGGTGGGAGTGAGAAGGCAAGGAGATAGGATTATCTTAGTCAAGCTTGTCGTTGGTGATATGGTCTTGAACGTAATTAAAGTGCGTATGCCCCCAAGTAGGTCTCGACGAGAGTGCTAAGAGACAGCCTACGGGAAGACTTAGATGGCCCAGTTAGAGCTATACCTAGTAGTGAGAAGCTTTTTATAGGAGGAGATCTTAATGGGCATGTAGGTACTACAAGCCTTGAGTTTCGAGGCAGTTCATGGAGGTTTTGGGTATGGTAGTAGGAATCGGGGAGGGGAGGAAGTTCGGACTTGGCGGTAGCTTTTGACCGATGATAGCCAACACTTTCTTTAGAAAAGAGAATCTCATCTAGTGACCTTGATGAGCGGACAACACAGAGCAGATTGACTTTGTCCTCGCAAGAAGAAAGGACAAACGAGCATGCTTGGATTGCAAGGTGATACCGAGGGAGTGTGTTGTTTCTCAACATAAGCTTTTGGTGGTAGATTTTTCGCCAAAAGTGCGTGCCGTAGGGATAAACAAGCTAAGATTGAAAGAACAAAGTGGTGGAAGCTGAAAGGGAGACGTCGGAGGTATTTAGGGAAAGGGTTATCAAAGAGGGCTCTTGGAAGGAAGACGACGACATAAACAATATGTGGGACAAGATGGCAACCAACATTCGGAAGGTAGCCTCAGAGGTGTGTGGAGTAACCAAAGGAAGGGGACGCGAGGCTAAAGACACTTGGTGGTGGAACGAGGAAGTCCAAAGGGCTATTAAGGAGAAGAAAGAATGCTATAGACGCTTGTATCATGACAGAGTGTGGACAACATAGAGAAGTACAAGGTGGCAAAGAAGACCGCAAAGCGGTATGTAAGTGTGGCAAAGGGTAGAGCGTCTGAGGATCTTTATCAACATTTGAGTACGAAGGAAGAGAGAAGGACATTTATAGGATGGCTAGGGTTCGTGAGAGAAAGAGACGGGACTTCAACCAAGTTAAGTGCATTAAGGATGAAAGGAGCATCTCTTGGTAAAGGAGGATGAGATCCGACATCGATGGCAAGAGTATTTTGACAAATTGTTCAATGGTGAGAATATGGACACAACCTTTTAGTTGGATGACTCTTTTGATGACACCAATAGGCGCGCTTGTGCGGAGAATCCAAGAATCGAGGTCGAGAGGCGTTGAAAAGGATGAAAGGAGGTAAGGCGATGGGACCGGATGGTATCCCAATCGAGGTGTGGAGATGCCTCGGGGACATAGGCTGTAGTATGGTTGACCAAGTTGTTCAACCATATTTTTCGATCAAACAAGATGCACGATGAGTGGAGAAGAAGTATATTGGTACCGATCTACAAGAATAAAGGGATATTCAAAGTTGTACAAATTACCGGGAATTAAGTTGATGAGCCATACTATGAAGCTATGGGAGAGTTATCGAGCATCGCTTGAGAGCAATAACGCTGGTCTCTATGAACCAATTTGGTTTCATGCCCGGAAGGTCAACCATGGAAGCCATTTTCTTAATAAGACAAGTTATGGAGCGGTATAGGGAGAAGAAGAAGGACCTACACATGGTTTTTATTGACTTGGAGAAGGCTTATGATAAAATACCAAGGAATGTTATGTGGTGGGCTTTGGACAAACATAAAGTCCCAACAAGCACGTCGGGCTCATTAAGGACATGTACAACAATGTTGTGACTAGAGTTGAACAAGTGATGGAGACACGGATGACTTCCCGATTAGGATAGGACTACATCAAGGGTCAGCTTTGAGCCCTTATTTGTTTGCTTTAGTGATGGATGAGGTCACAAGGGACATACAAGGGACATCCTTGGTGTATGCTTTTCATGGACAATGTAGTGCTAGTTGATGAAAGCCGGACAGAGTGAATCAAAAAGCTGGAGTTATGGCGGGGAGACTTTGGAGTCCAAAGGTTTTAGACTTAGTAGAACTAAAAGCGAGTATATAGAGATGTGACTTGGCACTACTACTCGGGAGGAGGAAGATGTTAGTTTGGAAGGTCAAGTAGTGCCTAGGATGGATACCTTTCGATATTTAGGATCAATGCTACTGAGAGGGACGGAGATATTGATGAAGATGTTAGCCATAGAATCAAAGCGTGGTGGATGAAGTGGCGGCAAGCGTCTGGTGTCCTATGTGACAAAATGGTACCACGAAGCTAAAAGGCAAGTTTTATAGGACGGCGATTAGACACTGCTATGTTGTATAGTGCGAGAATGTTGGCCTCTTTAAAAAGGCGACATATTCAACGGCTAAGTGTCGCGGAAATGCGTATGTTGCGTTGGATTTGCGGGCATACAAGAAGGGATCGAGTTCGGAACGATGATATACGTGAGAGATTAGGGTAGCGCCAATTGAAGAAAAGCTTGTCCAACACCGGTTGAGATGGTTTGGACATGTGCAACGGAGACCTTCAGATGCACCGGTGCGTAGTGGAATCCTAAGTCAGGATAGTAACGTAAAGAGAGGCAGAGGAAGACCGAAGTTGACTTGGGTAGAGGCAATAAAAGGAGACTTGAAAGGATGGAATATACCCAAAGACTTAGCCTTAGATAGAAATGCTTGGAAGACAGCTATTCACGTGCCTGAACCTTGATTGTTTCTGTTGGGTTTCAACTCTAGCCTACCCCAACTTGTTTGGGACTTAAAGGCTTTGTTGTTGTTGTTGTTGTTGTTGATTCACGGCTTGCATTGCCTCCAAAGTCCAATCTTAGAGTTGCATGCTGAATCACTTGCTGTTGTGAGTTGTGACTACTACTTGGTGCAAAATCGCATCAACACCTGTTATGCTGATTTGAACTAAGCCAGTAATGACCCAGAAGCCAAGAAATGACCATCACAAATGTCTAGAGACTCAAGTTGCTCTTTTTCAACATTTTCTATTATTTTTTCTTGTTTTTTACACAAGGTTCACAAATGAGATGACAGACCGATGATAGAAATTGGATGAGGGGAATGGAAGTACAACTGGCAGTTGTAACATATCTGCCGGCGAGTTTGTTGTGCACCGAATATCCAGATTCCAGTGCCCTGTTTGATTGGCCAAATTAATCCACTGGCACTGGTTCCATGGCTTCAGCCTCCTTTCTCAACTCATCAAACAGCGCCGACGACAAGTATCGCTCCCCAAGGCTTGGAAGAACAGTCTGTACCAATGGTTCACTGGTCAGTACTTTGAAATTGCCTTCATGTCAACACTGTAAAGCAATGTAAAAGGATTCGATACGTGTCACATACCACAATGAGTTTTCCTTTGTTTTCCGGCTTCATTGCTAGCTCAAGAGCAGCAACAGTGTTCGCTCCTGATGATATCCCAACCTGCAAATATTTAACTAGTTCAGCCTTCAACGTCTTTTAAAAACAATATGCATCTTTCTTTATTCAAAATTGGTTCATGATGCAGCATCCACGTGCCACATCACCTCCAAAAAAATATTAAACCACTTCAGGATGAAGTCTAGATTTTGAATGTTTTATCAAGTCTTCCTAATAGCTTTCATCTTTTTTAAGAGAACATCACTTATTTATCTCACTTACCAAAAGACCCTCCTTGACTGCCAATTCTCGAGCCATCTTAACAGCATCCTCACTTTTCACCTGTCATATGCCCAATTCAATTAGCATTACATAATTACATAGTATTCATGATTTTAAAAGAGCATCAACTACAAATAGTTTCAGCATTACCTCAAGAACCTTTTCCATTATATCCATATCCAAAATATCTGGCTTAAACCCTACTCCATTTCCAGTGATGAGGTGAGGCCCTGCAATTAGGTTCCGCAAACAATATTAAAAGATATGAAACCCATGCACAGTGGGGAAAGTAGTTCTTTTAGAGAATGCCAAAACTCACCTGGCTTTCCACCATTCAGAACATTTGCTTCAGCAGGTTCAACTCCATAGATCTGCAAGTTACCATGGAAACGCTATGAGATTTACAATACAACTGAATACAAGTTCCAGAAACTACACCTTATTGAGTATCTAGCTATGAGATTTTGTTCTGTCTGGTCTATGATAGTACCTTTGCATTAGGGTTCTTCTCCTTGAGGTACTTGCCGACGCCCGTGACAGTACCGCCACTCCCGATCCCCATGACGAAAATATCAACCTGTCCAAGTGTGTCCTCCCATATTTCTGGACCCGTTGTCTCATAATGTACCTGTAAGATTCAGTCAGTAACCCTTAAGAAACCGCATCAACTGGATACTAAATACTACCCCTACAAAGTGAAACTCATGGCCAAAGCAGGCAAAATTGTTAAAGAAGAAGAAAGCGAGAGTACCTTGACATTAGCAGGATTCTGAAACTGTTGAAGCATGTATGCACTAGGATGTTTCTCATAAAGCTCTGCTGCTTTTCTCACTGTCCCACCCATCCCTTTCGTTGGGTCGGTAAGGACCAGATTTGCACCGAAGGCCCTCATGGTCACCCTCCTCTCAAGACTGGTGTATGACGGCATCGTAAGAATGAGTTCGTACCCTTTTAGCGCAGCCATGAACGCCAAGCCAATGCCCATGTTCCCAGATGTGGGCTCGATCAGTGTGGTCTGTTCAACAAGTGATTTATTTTGTATTTCAGTGTGCAATCAAGTTAATGCTTTGCTGGAGGGGAAAAAAATACTGAAATTCGAATTAGGGTGTTTTTTCTGGGTCAAAGTTCATATTTCCTCTTATTTGTTAGGTAGATATTAATTTTACAGATAATTTTTATAAACTGTTGGTGATAACTACTGACCTTTCCTGGAGTGATCAATCCCCTCTTTTCAGCATCTTCCAACATTGAAATTGCTGGTCTGGATCACAGCACACCCGAAAAAGAATATCAACATCAGTCGTTGAATCATAGTTCTACAAGTAGATGTCACTGCTGAATTATTTGGCTCTTGAAATAGGTATGGCACAGTTAGCCAGGATCGCGAAGTTTCTCATGAACTACGACACCAGCTAAAGGGGAGGATGCAGCAAGTACTTTTCAGATGAAGATCTTCAAGAGCATATGAGTTTGTAGAAAAAAAATATAAAACTGACTTCCAGTTGAAGATCAACTTTTGGGAAACAATTATCAACTGGTATATGGCAGGTAACGTATTAGCACTTTAGTGAAATTATTTTTTAAACTTTATCCATCCACCTAATTACTCTATGCCATCACAACTAATCTGTTGATTATTACTGAACCGAATGTATCAGAATCAAACAGTGACAAACCCTTAAATTTTCTCCTCTCCGGTGATTTCCATATATATGTAGTCCATACATTAACATCCTACGCCATGTTCGCTTGGCTTATAAGCCGTACTTTTTCAGCCAACGAATAGTATTTTTCTCTCACAACAAATCAATCAACAGTACTTTCAGCCATGGCTTATCAGCCAAGCGAACAGGACATAGTTCCCTATATCCTGCGATTGGGGCAATAGTTCATCCAATTCTAAAAGTGACAGATGGACTCCCTTGCAAATGGAAAGAAAAAGAAACTGGACTAATCTGGTGTGTAATCTTGACTCTGAGCTCCCATAGTCCATGGTTCATTTTCCTTGACTTTTGTGGGCAGGCAGGACACTCATCCCCAATTGCTATCATCATCTGCCGAAAGCGATAAGATGTTTTCTTCTTGCACCAAGCACTCTTGGATGTTATTGTCAGTAGTAGTATTATTACTCCAGACACCAAATATTGGTCCCCATCAAAACCCAATAATGGTCCCCATTAAAAATCACTATCCATCATATATTACTGCATATTTCCCATTCCATATAGCCATTCCTTATACACCACAAGTTGGGTTCTCTCTTTATTATCCTTTCGTCCATATGCCCATTATCAGCAATTTATGGAGAGTAACTCTATATATATATATATATAAATAATATAGACTTACTGTTCTGTAGCTGGCCGCAGAATAAGTTATTCTGTGGCCACTTTGAGTTATGATAATTACTATACTAATTTACGAGATTACGGTAACTCTCTCATAAGTGATTTACTATAACATTATGATAAGTATCATCTTGAATTATATTAACCCATGTATCGTAAATGTGTATTGTCATTATCGTAAATTGGTACAAACATTATCATAAATCAAGGTGGCTATAGAATAAGTTATTCTGTGGCCAGCTGCAGAATAGCCTTACCGGTATATTCAGTAGCCAGCTACAAAAAAAAATTATTCCGTAGCCACCTCCATTTATGATAATTTTATATACTAATTTACGATAATGTCAATACATATTTACGATAGTTGGGTTACTATAACACATGGAGATATTTACCATAACGTTATAGTAAACCACTTAGTATAGAGTTACTATAATATCGTAAATTAACATAGTTATTATCGTAACTCAAACTGACTACAGAATAAGTTATTCTATAGCCAGCTGCAGAGTAGTAGTTCTATATATATATATAGAATAACTTGTTCTGTAGCCACTTTTTGAGTTACGAAAATTATTATGCTAATTTACGATATATATATATATATATATATATATATAGCCTTGGGCTTCCAATAACTACAAGAAGCCCGAACCCAAACATCCTCTTTTGGTTAGACCAAACCAGCTAACAGCCTGTTCGGTTGGCTGGTTCATGTCGTTGCTGGTTCGTGAAGAAGTACTGCTGGCTGCTGGTTTGTGTGAGAGAAAAATACTGTTCCGACTGGAAATTTACGATTGTTTACGACAAGCCACAGACAAACGAACATGCTATTATAAATCTGCATGCAAACATCTCACGTCGGCCGATTCTCGTGACGCGATAGAAACTTCACACCCCCCAACCACCGCTTTATTCAACGGCACGAGAGCTCAAATCCAACCATGGTCGCTTTGCCTCCTCATCGCTCTCCCCGGCGGTGGTCTTGCGCGTCCACCGGTGGCGGTGGGCAACGACTCTTATTTGCTACTGGCCTCAATTGGCCGGGCTGGGCGGTCATGGCTGACTCAGTCTGCCGCTTAAGGGTATGACCGACGGCGGTTGGCGTATAGGCGGCGCCTTGGCTGTGACGGATCGTTCCCCGGCGTCCCTCCCCTACTAGGGCCCATGACGGTGCCCTCCCTCATCGGTCGTTGACACCGTTTTTTGCACGTGTCAAAATGATCGGAGTGGGGTGATCGGCAAGGGGAAAATTCTGATACTCGATAACCGGCGAAAGCTAGCTTGTAAAGATGGTTGCCGATAGTGGTGGTGGTCGATGGAAAGGTTGATTTAGACTCGGGCGTTGCCGATGAGGTTGGAGGTGTTATTGTCGATGCTGGATGAAGGAGGCTTGAAGACTACCGCCGATGAAACAGGAGTATGCCAATGAAGGAAGACTTGAAGACTCTGCCGATGAAACATGGAGTATGCCGATGGGAAGGAGGACGGTGAGATTTCCATCGTAATTGAGGCGACGGGGGAAATAGATAGGAGTTGATTTCTTTTTCTATATTTGTTAGAGTATGACTCATGTAAGAGTCACGTGTTTCCTTAGATATGGGTTTGGTGTCCTAGTTGTGTTTGGTTGTGTCTCTTTAGATCGTGGTATAAATATGGAGTGAGGGGCAATGTAATGAAGATATCAATCAATATCAAAACCAAGTTTTACTCCTATTTACATCTACTTACTTTTCGGTGACTTCGTCAATTTGCATATTTTTCTTTTACGAGTTCTCATTGATTGGCGAGTTGCATTGTCTCAGTCGACCTTGGCGATTCTCGAAGTTCGCGTGAGTACCCTTGGCCGTGACTTTCGGGCGATCGCTGTTGTCGGGACCAAAGTGCTCGTATCTTCATCCTTGTCGATTAATGAGTCAAATCGACCGCACGCTTTTGGATATCGATTGGGTATTAGCCCTTTGTGTTTGCAGATCCACTTTTGCATCAACACATCTTTTGCACGCCGGTGGGACCAATCAATCCGATCAATATGTTCAATTCCGAGATCGATCGCGGGGAACATTATCAGCGGTATCGAAGAAGATCTTAAGGAAGAGCAGAGGCGGACTATGGAAAAGGTCAGAAGAATACAGCGACTTTGTCTCGAAATCGTTTAGCTTTGAACAAGAGTGGACAAGTCATCCGAAGCAAGATTTGCCGTTGCCTCGGCAGTTACCTTTGACTCCAATCTGGTAAACTTCAAGAGATGGTTAATTACGCAATAAATTATGCTTTGATTAATCATTCCAATGTGTTTGTCCAATACTGTTCATAATGTTGTGGTTCGAACTCTCAAAGAAGGACAAGCGTCACCGCATTATGTTGGGCCTGCCTATCACCAACCAGAACCGGCATCTGTCAATACTCCATTGGCTCCCTCGGCCGTTGTGGGTCTGAAGTTACTTTTTCTCGAAGATCGGCAGAGTTTACCTAATATTCAATCTACACCGATACGATCAGATCCGGTACTACCGGAGGACGAATTCAGCTTAATACAGATCTATCGGCATCGGCTATGTCAGGTCTCGTGTCTCAAAATAGCCGATTCACCGCTAATTGGTGGGGATATGGTATGCCTCCGAGTCATCGCTTTCAATCTCGGATTACCTCAAGTGTTTGATGCGAGAGGAAAAGCTCCTATACCATCGGCCATTTTTACCGATGGCCCAAGCGCCTCAATATGCCACAAAGAACTCATTGTGCAACCAACTCTCGGGGTTTCAGATGCCTTTGGTTCAAACGCCCAGTTCAAATCTATCGGCAAGCTTATCGCCGCCGATAGCTGAAACCTCGTTATGAGTCAAAGCTGGGGTTGAGTTTATGCCTCAAGTCTGGTTATAATTATCCAACAATGTCAAGAATTATCAGCCATCGGTAAGTTTTGTACCGATGAGTTCTAATAATGGTTGGTCGTGGGCGCCACTGCTCAAATTACAACAAGAAATCGGCAAAGTTGCGTGGATTCAACAAGGTCATATGCAAGTGGTTTTGAGAATCAAGCATCGGCGATTTCAGTGATGAATCCTTTCCAACAGTTAATGGACCACAAGTAACGGCAAATATGCCGATTGTTGGAGATCGTGGGCCACAAAGATATGTGGAAGGATATCGCAGTACCTCTGTAGAAATTTAGCTTGATTAAATCGCCAGGAGGTCGATGCTTTTGGGCCGATAAGATAGCGTAAATTATGAAGGATCAGTTTGGGATAAAGCCCAAGGTCAATACTTATTCTTATCGGACTCCATACCCTCCCGCATATGATTTAATTCCTCTCCCAAATCGGTACAAGGTACCAGATTTCACTAAATTCTCTGGGCAAGATGATACATCAACAATGGAACACGTCAATCGCTTCATTATTCAATATGGAGAGGTAGCTAGCAGAGATGAATTAAGGGTTCGATTATTTTCATCATCTTTGTCTGGATCGGCATTTACATGGTTCATTTTATTACCACCGAATTCTATTATTACTTGGGCTGATCTAGAAAAACAATTTCATAAGTATTTCTTTCTTTGGAATCCATGAAAAGAAGCTTACCGATTTGGTAAAATTGAGACAACAGTAATGATGAATCGGTAGAAAGCTTTGTGCAAAGGCTAAGAGATGTAAAGAATAAGTGTGCTATGCAGTCTTTGGATGATCGGTGACTTGCCGATCCGGCTTTCAAGGGTTATTGCCACATCTTAAAGACAGATATGCTTCTCAGAGTTTGAAAGTCTCGGTCATCTTGTGCAAAGGATTTCGATCAAGACACTAGGTTTTTGAACCTAAAAAGAATTGGAATAAAAAGTATCATTTGTTGAAGAAGTAGGAGATTCGATTCGATGAAGAACCGATTATCGGCTTGGTGAGTGGGTTAAGAATAA